CCTGGGGGACAGAGTGAGACTCTTGGTCTCCTGAAAGAAAAAAAAATCAAACCCCTGCTTGTTGACAGCTTCCCCCCACCCCAAAATAGCACAAGCTCTGTGTAATACTACCTCTTCAGAGTTTGGTTTTTTTGTTTTGTTTTGTTTTATAGTTTTTTTTTGAGACAAGGTTTCATTCTATTACCCAAGGCTGGAGCAGCCTCGACCTCCTGGGCTCAATCAATCCTCCTGCCTCAGCCTCCGGTACAGCTGGGATCACAGGCACAGACCACCATGCCCGGCTAATTTTTGTATTTTTTTGTAGAGTCAGGTTTCACCATGATGCCCAGGCTGGTCTAGAACTCCTGGGCTCAAGTGATCTGCCTGCCCCCACCTCCCAAAGTGCAGATATTACAGGCGTGAGCCACCACACCTGGTACCACATCTTTTTTCTTTTGTCTTTTTTTTTTTTGAGACATGGTCTCACTCTGTCACCCAGGCTGGAGTGCAGTGGCGCAGTGATAGCTCACTGCAACCTTGAACCCCTGGGCTCAGGCAATCCTCCTGCCTCAGCCTTCCAAAGCACTGGGATTCCAGGCATGAACCACCAGGCCCAGCCAGCACTTCACTTCTTTGCTGCCTTCAGAGTAATGGTATAAAGCAACAATTCAATACCAAGTTGGTAAAATACTTTGTGTTTCAAACAGAAAGACTGCCTAAAAATATTACCTTTTGCTGCTAGCACCCAGAAAAACAATGGGAAATAAGGAAACCCTGGCAGCTGAGAAGGCCTCCTAGTCAACAGATCCAGTTTTTCCCAAGTTCATACTGTGGATAAACTTGTAGTTCATTTAAGTGTCTAGATCTCTTTCCTTCATGTAGAGGCCTTAATCAAAGTCTCTCCTCAGGATTTTATTTCACAGCCTAAGAAATGTTTAATTTAATAAAATATTCTTTTTTTTTAGGGTTGGATCCATTACCGGATACTGAGTTGTGTTAAAAAAAATTATGTATATACATACACACGTCTATATATATATAAAAATATATATATAAATCATCATAAAATACTATCCTAGGTTATCAATAGTGTGCTTATAGTGCTGATCTTATTCCTAGTTGAATTGTCACAGTTGACCACTGTCCATTATTTTAGGATATTCCTTTTT